AGTTTCTCTTTTATAGTTTCATTAAAATGTTTTTTCAAATATTGGGGATAGTTTGCCCAAAAAGGAAAATTGTTTTTTTTAGCCTCTACTCACCCTCATGTTGTTTCAAATCTGTATGACTTTCTTTCTTTTGTGGAACATAAAAGAAGGTATTTTGAAGAATGTTGGCAACCAAACTGTTTTGGTCTTATATAAATACCAATTCAGATGCAGCTTCTGAAAAAAATCATGGCCGTTGTAGCCTAAAAGTGTATGTGTAATAAATTCTGTTAAATCAAATAAAATATTTCTTTCTAAAGCAAATTTTTGTAATGTCTATTTGTTGCTTTTCTCATTTAACACAATTAATAATGATTTTAAACCATCTTTTGTGCGTAATTTCTCAGCCAAATTTGTTGTTTTGAATTTGCGATTAATTAGCATAATCTTTGAGTGAAAAGTTTAATTGAATTTTCCACATATTTCTGTATCTTTAAGTATTTAGTTTTACTTTTACTATAAAGGGATAGTTCACCCAAAAATGAAATTATCCCATGATTTACTCACCCTCAAGTTATATCCTAAAAAATATCCTTGCTCTTCCAAGCTTTATAATGGAAGTGCATTTTGAAGTGCATCCATCCATCATAAAAAACATCCACACGACTCCAGGGGGTTAATAAAGTCCTTCTGAAGTGAAGCGATGCGTTTTTGTAAGAAAATATCCATATTTAAATCTTTAGAAACTATAATAACTAGCTCCGGGCAGACAGCCTATGCAAACCGACTTATGCCAAAAGAGTAATCTCTGACATGACGCACTGACGAATGCGTAAGCACAAAGGATAGTCTATAACGAGAATTTTTAAAGAGAAAAATCGGAAGATTTCGATATAAGAGAAGAGGAGCTTGAGTTTGTTGCCCAGCCCTGTTTGTTTGAACTCCAAGAGCTTATGGCTTATGCTACATACTACGTCATACATCGCATCAGAAGTTACTCTTTTGGCGCAAGTCGACTTGTGTAGGCCATCTGCCTGAAGCTAGATATTTTAGTTTATAAAGTTTTAAATATGGATTTTTTTTTTTACAAAAACCCATCCCTTCGCTTCAGAAGGCCTTTATTAACCCCCTGGAGTCGTATGGATTACTTTTGTGATGGATGGATCGACTTTTTTGGACTTCTAAATCAGGAATAATTTTCACCTTTGGGTGAACTATCCCTTTAATGACATCGGGACTGGATTTGAACAAAACCTGAAGATCATAAGAAGACCATGTTCCAATGAGCATTTAATAGAAAAACGTCTGACTGTCACAAAGAGTCACATGATCCAGGTTTATGTGGAAAAATACCACATTTAAGTTAGTTTTAGACTTTTGGTCCCCACTGTAAATCATTATGCAATATAAAATTGTTCATTCTGTGATAAAAGATTTTGGTCATAAAAGATTTCCACCCACCTCTATTGACCTGTAAACATATATTTTTAAGGATACTCTAGATGTATGAATAATAATAATAATATTCAGCATAATTTTTTGCTTGTTCAAACTTTTTTTTACACGAACGAGAAATGTTGTTCTTGTGTTCACCTTTCTCGGTTCCTGTGAAATAACAGTCGTCTTTATTTTGTTCATAGTTCTAATGGAAAGTCTGTGTCATGGTCTGAACCAGGTTCAAGACATCCTCCGAAAGGGGAACACATGTGGCACAGACTGTCTGTACATGTGAAGAGGCAGGAAGCCGGATCCAATCAGACGGCTGTCATCAAACCCCTAACTAATACCTACAATAACCCAGGCATGGAGTTTTCCGATTTAAGCACCAAGACTCTATACAATGTAGCCGAGGAGGACGAGGGCGACCCGATAAGATACAATCCCTCGGGCAGCCCTCCTCTGATGGCTCTCAGGCTGTCGCCTGTCAGCAAGCCTATGAAGGAGGTGGGCGCCCATCTGACTTTTTACACTTCTGAGCAATACGTGCCACAAAAAAGCAGTGTTCTCCCCCAACATGTTATTGCAGACCACTTTCAGCAAGAGATGCTCAAGTTCGTGCCCGATCTGGATGAGATCATAAGCCTGCCTGAGCCAGGTGACAGGGTGATGCTGCCGCTTCAACCCCAAATATTGCATCCACATCCAATTTTGCCCATGCAACTGGGTGCTTACCCAGACGAGCCTGTCTCCCCTTTGGAGGAGGATGAAAATGAGCAGTTTGGACTTCTTCATGGCTACATGTATGACAATGCACAGATCCACGATGAGGAGGAGTTGGTACAGATCAAAATGTCAATGGAGGACTCTCTGGCTCTGATGCCACCTTCTCCGTTTCGTGATTCTCTCGGCTCGGGCAGCCCCGTTCCCAACTCCCCGGTGTCTGAGTCCATCTTATGCACGCCGCCGAGTGTGACGTACGCGTCCGTCATTCTCAGAGACTTTAAGCAAAGCTCCTCGACCCTCTGAAACACATTTATTTTAAGAGATCATGTCAGCTGTTGTGAAATAATAGCTACTAGTTTGTACAGTGGTGTGACTTAAGTCGCTTGCACTGGAGAGCTTTAATATTATATGTGTTTGATAGAGCATCTGTATGGATGTATGTTGACCAGGGTCCAAAATTAACAAGTGCCAAATGCAAGTCAAATTTTGCCAGTACGTCTTTTAAAGTTGCATATAGGCATGGAGGCATGGAGCGTGTGCACAATGTATTTATTTTCAATGAGCCAGTGTTTGTTATTTTAGTATCTTTGGTTTTTAACTATTATAGTTTTTTGTATTATTATTTTGAACTAGTTTTTATTTTCTATTTTTATTTTGTAATGTTTTTGTCATTTTCATTATTTTTATGTCTAGTTTTTATTGCTTTCCATGTCAGTTTTAGTTACTTTAGTACTTCAGGTTGAACTACATGAAAATTAGAAATGTTGCCTTTGCGACCAGCTGAAATAAAAAAGTTTACGTTTTTTAAATATTTTATTTTATTTCAGTTAATGTTTATTTTATTTCAAGTAACAAAAATGTTACTTGAAATAAACATTTTTTTTATTATTATTTTACAATAACCAACAATATAACAAAATGGCCATTACATTTTCTCAATTTACCCACAATTGGCAGGTGTGGCCAAAAAAGTTTTTCATTTATTTTTCATTAAATGTTTAATTTTCCATTTTAAAGTTTTGGTAATTTTGTTGTGTTTTGAGATGCATATTAGTTGTTCAAGTTAAACTAAATTAAAATGAAAATACTGAAATAAAATGTGTTTTTTTTTCTAAAAAAAAAAGTAATGAAATTATTTTTTTTATGATTTTATAGCAGGCAAATTTTCAAAATTCACCCACAATTGGCAGGTGTGGCCAAAAAAAAAAGAAGAAGTTAATTTTGGACCCTAATGTTAATGCTGGATTGAGTAAAAGCAGAAACCCAAACATGCAGGATCCCTTTGATTTCTGTCACTATCACTTGCTTTAGAATGGCAGCAGTAGTTGACATGAAAACAACACCAGTCATTGTAATGCTGTATATTCTGCGCCGTTTAAGCTTTTAATTATAGATCAAAATATCTAAAGGACCAGCAGAAAATAACCATTGTAGCAGAAACTGAAGATTTAGAAATTTAAAAAATGTGCAGCGACTCTTATGAGTGACAATTTAATGTTTAATGTGTTTAATGTGTTTTATACAATCAGTCTACATGACTTTTATAAACTGTATTTTAAAACTGAGACTATATTAAATGGACATGATTATCAAACAGTTTTAGGTCTAGTTAGGGCATCATATCAGTGTATGTATGCTGTAAACTAAGTGTAGATAACCAATGCCTAAAAGTACAATGTAGCAATTAACGGATAGTGTTTAAGTGCCAATGTCAATACTAACTGTATTTTTCCATGCTGTATTATTTTTATGTAATTTTTTTATAGTTTGTGTGTTTGAAGTACAATAGAAAGTGTATATATTAATTTTCTTCCATTTATGTGTGATTTTTTAAAAGTTATGAAGTAATGTAAATATTTATAGCTTTGGATTTAAATGGTCATAACTTAAAGCCAGAGTTTGTATTATTACATAGACCTTTTCAATAGACAACATTGATCTTTCAGTTTCAATGCCTGTATTTAGTAACTTCTCTTTATTGTTGGTTGAATGTTTTCATATCTGTTCCGAATACTTATATGCTTCATACAGATAGTGTGTTAATGAAGATTCAAGGACCCCTAATGCTCAACAGGGCCACCGACGGCAGTTTCACCAGAATGTATCATGAGTCCTCATATGTTTGCAGCATACCTGTAGACAGTTATATCCTCTTATTGTTATGACCATTTAAGTTCTGTATGACCTGATGGTTACTAAATTAGTATTATTAATAATAGAATTTTAACTTTTTAAGCAATTATAGAAAGTTTTTGTAACTTATAGATATTAATGATTATGCTGTAAGCTTTTTTTTTCTTTTGCAATGCAATGTGTTTGTTTCTGATCTTGTCAGATTGCATACTATAGTCTTGAGTTTATCTTTAAACATTTGTGCTATTATATTTTTGAAAATAATCATCTGTGTCCTATTGCATACCATATAGATGTAGATAAACTACATGTTTCTACAGATTAAATATACAGTATAGTTCTGTATTAGTCAGAATTGCTTATCTTATAATAGTGAGCATGTTTTATTGGGTTTATGTTAAATATTGTACATTGTTAATAAGCTCTCAGGGTTGTTGCTGCAGGTGTTTAGTTAATAATTTCCCAAAATGTGACTAGTTATTGCTTTCATATGACAATGTTAAAGAACTGTCTACAACACCCGTATGTCTCACTGTCACTTTATGCATGTTTTTTGCATTTGAAATGCCAAAAATGGCCTTTTATACCTTTTATGTGACTTATTTGTTTTATGTAACTTCTTTTTGTTTTATCGTTTTGATGCTGGAAACTGTCTGTGTTAGGTAGTTGGAAAACAAGACAGGGATTTCAACGGCAGAATAAACCTGAACGATCATTTGTTGCAGATGAGATTTGTTAGAACTATCCAAGGAAAATGTCAGAAAGACTCAGAATTAAGATTCACTGAACATTTCTTAAAAATTTTAGTGATTGGAGACCATAAAGTTGGGAAAACCAGCTTTGTTAAACGATATGTGAGTTGAAAACGACTATGTGGATTTTCCAATGAAGGTGATCGATTGGGATAGTCACACACGTGTGAGATTACAGCTTTGGGATATAGCAGGTAAGTCGTATTACCTTGTTTAAAGGAAATTATTTTAATAGAATTATGTAGATTACATTTGTTATTTTGATTTGCCATAATAGATCATGAATGCATAAAACTAATAATTTTAATGTGCATCATGAGAAAAAATGGAGAATAAGACAGAAATTAAACACTTATAAAAAAATCATGGAACAGTTTCACTTTCATATTCATATTTCATTTGCATATTCATTCATTTTATATTCATATTTATTGAGTACAAAGCACCAGGCAAGAATTACATGATATCCGAAATGCATGTAAGCTGATCAGTGTCTGTGTTTCCATGAAACTGGAGAATTGGGACCATAATTTGCTTTAAAAATGTTTTTATTTGCTGCTATTTAGGTCGCGCGTGAGGGGACTGAACCGAGTGTACTTCAAGGGATCCAGTGGTGCATTTGTTATGTATGATGTGATAAACGGGTCAACATTGGATCGAGCTCTGAACTGGAAACATGAACTTGATTGCCAAGTAATGTTGAAAAATGGCTGTCCAATCCCTGCTGTTCTACTGGCCAATACATGTGATGAGACTAAATTGTGCCAGAGGAATGCCTCTCTTTTGGAGAACATCTGCCAGGAGAAGGGTTTTATTGGATGGTTTCAGACATCAGCAAAGGTGACTGGATTTGTATCATGCTAGTTTCCATATTTAGACTATACATTTAGGGTTGGAAGCTGGGGTTCCCTTTTGGGGCAGCATCATGGAGTTGACGCTATGGGGAACACGTGTACCAAGCACGGCAATTTTACTGGCTGATGGCAGTCTTTGACATCATGAGCAGGGTTTTCTAAGTAGGACTCAAGCTCCCCGGTGGCACCCTCGGGTTGGAGCCTAGGTGATCATAAGTTTTTGGGCACACTATATTATGCACTGCTTTCATTTTCTCCCTAGAGGAGTAGGTTTCCCCTTGAAGGAAGAGCAAGTTGAACAGAACTGCGGTAATTCACATCTCCCTATCTTTCGTTTATCTAACTCCCCATTATTATTGGGTTCTTAAGTAGAGGTTTCACTCTTCTTTGGATAGGTGCTCTACTTAAACTAATTTCTGGCTATAGCAGTTATGAGCTGTTTCAATGTTCAATGACATTGGGGTTTTAAGTAGGGCCTGAGCTCCCCTGCGGCTCCTTTTGGGTTAAAGCCTGGGTAGGAGTTACTGGGCACATTGCATTATGCCCTTCCTTTTTGGCAAAGTACAGAAGTAGGCTTCCCTCTCGGAGGAGCAGCAGCTCTAAGCAGCCTTATAATGCCCTGCTCTCATTCTCCAACGCTATCTCACGACCAATGCGTCCGAATTTGACGAGTGATTAAAAGATGGCTAATTCGTACAAATTCGTACGACCTCATTCGTACGAATTTGTACGATTTGTCTAAACCCATGTGATGGGTAGGTTTAGGGGCGGGGTCAGGGGTAGGTCATTCGTACGAATTCATACGAATTGGGCAACTCGTCAAATATGTACGTTTTAGCAAAAATCTTACTAATTCGTACGAGTGAGGTCGTACGAATTGTTACGAATTAGCCATCTTTTAATCACTCGTCAAATTCGGACGAATTGGTCGTGAGATCGGGTTGCATTCTCCCTCCTTTGTTGAACAGGAATAAGGAAGGGAAGGGCAGCAATAGTGAAGGTTGTGGCCTGGAAGGCTAATGACTAAGTTTTTAGCATTTGGCAGGCTCCCTTACCTAATCTGCTCTTAAGATACAGGGTGGACAGAACTACAATGGGCCACTCACAAGATTCCCCCTGTTTTGTTTACCTGTTTCCAATTAATATTGGGACTTGAAGTAGGAATATCGTTACCCTTTTGAAAGTGTGCTCTACTATGGTCCACAATGCTAATACGTAGAGAAAGTTTACCTGTGATGCATCCCTGCTTGTTAGCTGTCACCTATAGTCTAGTGTCAAAAGAAAGAAAGAAAAAAACGAGGCGCTAGCTGTAGTGGATCTTAGGTTGAGTACTTTTACTCAAGGCAGGGTTCGAGCTGCCAATTGTGCCCTGTCACATTGTCTTAAAGTAGGGCTCAAGCTCCCCTGCAACTTTCTTGGGGTTTAAAGTCTGGGTAATGAGAATTACTGGGCATACTGCATTATGTATTGCTTTCATTTCCCTCCTTCTCTAAGTAGGACTAAGGATTAGGCTCTCTCTTGTAGAGGCAGAAGTAGTAAATAGCCTGAAGGACAAATTACTAAGGGTTTGAGCACTTAAGCAAAAACATGAACTCCTCTCAAGATACCCGTGGGGTACAGCAGGAAGGATGGAATTGTGATAGGTATTCACGAAATTCCCCAGTTTTGTTTATTCCCTCCCCAACTAAGGTTGGGTTTTGAAGTAGGACATTATGCTCCCCTATGGCTGGATATTGTGCAAAGTCTCTAGTTGGTCCATGCTGGCCTCCCTTCTTGTTAGGGCCGCACTCTGATCAGATGCGTATGGAGTCTCCTAGTGGTTCCTGGATAGGTTATTTGCTCAAATAGGGTTAAGCACTCTTCCCTATGGCTTTAGGGTGAATAAGTAGAGCTTAAGCTCCCCTGCTGTTTCCCTAGAGGTTGAGTTGCAATGGCAAGAGTTTGGGCATTTATTTTATGCCACTCTCTCCTCTGATGAAAGTGGAGGTTATATTCTCCCCCTTTGAAGTAGTGATACATTGAAGGTTGTAGTTGATTTACTCCCTTTGATAAGCTACTCCCTAAGAGCTTTGTCTAATACTGACATAGCTAGCACTTTATTAGAGCTTTTGGCATCATAGACTGCTGTAAACCAATAAAATTGGAGTGTTTAGTACACGTGCTCAGACACCGGTGATGCTGAGGGCATCCCCATAGTGTCAACTCCATGACGCAGCATCTCTTTCCCTTTCTCGGGGAATTCAGGGTTGCAGTCATAACCTGAGATGTTTTTCAACCTTCACGGAACAAGGGTTTTCTCATACTACATAATTCACATAATTACAACAATTTGTATTTATTTATTGGAATGTCATAAAACTTAATTTGTCACTACTTGTCCACCTAGATTTAATTAAATTAAAATAAAAGTTTTGTGTTTTGTCTGTTGTGTACCGAGCCCCCCTAGTCCCACTTTGTCAAAAAAATTAATTATAACTATCTCATGGCCTCAAGATAGTAACTCGTGGCCTCAAGATAGTATCTCGTGGCCTCAAGATAGTAACTCGTGGCCTCAAGATAGTATCCCGTGGCCTCAAGATACTTTCTCGTGGCCACGAGAGATACTCGTAGAGATACTATCTTGAGGCCACGAGATACTATCTTGAGGCCACGAGTTACTTTCTTGAGGCTACGAGATACTATCTTGAGGCCACGAGATACTATCTTGAGGCCACGAGATACTATCTTGAGGCCACGAGTTACTATCTTGAGGCCACGCGTTACTATCTTGAGGCCATTAGATACTATCTTGAGGCCACGAGATACTATCTTGAGGCCACGAGTTACTATCTTGAGGCCACGAGTTACTATCTTGAGGCCACGAGATACTATCTTGAGGCCACTAGATACTATCTTGAGGCCACGAGTTACTATCTTGAGGCCACTAGATACTATCTTGAGGCCACGAGATACTATCTTGAGGCCACTAGATACTATCTTGAGGCCACGAGATACTATCTTGAGGCCACTAGATACTATCTTGAGGCCACGAGATACTATCTTGAGGCCACTAGTTACTATCTTGAGGCCACTAGTTACTATCTTGAGGCCACTAGATACTATCTTGAGGCCACTAGATACTATCTTGAGGCCACTAGATACTATCTTGAGGCCACTAGATACTATCTTGAGGCCACTAGATACTATCTTGAGGCCACTAGATACTATCTTGAGGCCAAGAGATCTTGAGGCCATGAGATACTATCTTGAGGCCACGAGTTACTATCTTGAGGCCACGAGATAGTTATAATTATTATTTTTTTGACAAAGTGGGTCTAGGGGGGCTTCGTAGTTGTGTTTGTTTTAGTAGAATATCAATGTGGATGAAGCTGCTAAATTCCTGGTGAAGCACATTCTCAAGACCAATGAGGAGTCAGTGAAAGAAGAAGAGCACACCATGCAGATAAACCTGAAACAGCAGACAAAGACGAATTCTGCCTGCTGCTGATTTTATAGTCCAACTCTAGTATATTATTCTTTCTGTACAGTATATAATTTCGAAATTATTAAATATTTTTTATGTATTTTATTTTCAATGATTAATACTCGTCTGAAAAATTTCAGTGGCCATGAACGAGTACCATGGTGAGTATCTAATAAATACCCCTGTGGCGATGCGTCTCAACTTCACTGCTAGTCCGCTACATGCTTACTGGTTATTAAATACATTAGCAGGTAAGGAAACTAACTGAGATCCGCTGTACACACTTCAGCCTAAAATATTTCATCAAGTGAACAGAAATACTGTAAAGATGCCAGATTCATTATGTTTCTCTCTTCAGAAAGGACTGTGCACAGGGACATGGCCTATATTTTGTCATGTATAACTGTTAATTTGTTTCTTTGGAAAATAGCAATAGGAGAGAATGGGTTTGAAAATAAAAAATCTAAATAAGTTGATGAAAAATAAAAGTATCTTCAGTGTAAAATTCATCAGGGCTTTAGAGGCTATCTGTTGTTCCATCAAGCGTAAATGCCTCAGAATGAAGTCAGATCGCATGCTAATAAATCTATCTGTGATCTTAAAGCTCTTTTTACATTATTTGACAAATAAATCAGAATTTCCATTTCAGTGCATCATTTTCAGACATTTCTGCAAACTTAATTGAGAAGTTAGAAAGCAGACTCTAATATAGGCCAATGCCCTGCCCTATTTATCCAGTTTATTAAATAATCAAATATATAAAATATAGAAGTAAAATATCCCTCATACAATGATTATTTATCCAGGTCAAGGGAGCGATTAAACACAAAAAGGGAGCTTCCATACACAACGGCCGATGTCACAGAAATAGGAAACAGTTCCAAGCATGACCCATTTTTGCTGTGCATTTTTGAGGGAATGTTAAGAACTCTGGCGTTCTGATACTCCCCCTAGAGATCTGTACTATATTGAGCAAACAATACTGTGTTCAAGCCTCCATACCAGCCTGAACTGACTGTAGGCATCAGCTGCCAGCAGATTCTGTATTCTGTGGATGGAAGAGCGGGTTTAAATGCGTTTATGTGCTCGTACACAAACATCCATCAAGTACAGGTTTCATGGTGCGCAGTGCATTGTGTTCCCCCAGAGGCACGATAAATGTTCCCATCTAGCCCCCAAGCGCTTCCCATCTGTTAGCGCTGCCAGACAGGTTGTACAGGTGTAGCGCTTTTACATTTACTGGCAGATTTCCATGTGAGTATTGTGAGCAAACGAGAAGGCACTGTTGCATCATTGTGTTTTGATAAAGATGAGTTGTGACTCTTTGAAAAATTCAGTAGAACGTGGATTATTTATTAATTGACTCATTACTGTGCTGGTCTCATTCTGGTCTCACTCTCATTACTGTGCTGGTCTCATTCTGGTCTCAATCTCATTACTGTGCTGGTCTCATTCTGGTCTCAATCATTACTGTGCTGGTCTCATTCTGGTCTCACTCTCATTACTGTGCTGGTCTCATTCTGGTCTCACTCTCATTACTGTGCTGGTCTCATTCTGGTCTTTCTTATTACTGTGCTGGTCTCATTCTGGTCTCACTCTCATTACTGTGCTGGTCTCATTCTGGTCTCAATCTCATTACTGTGCTGGTCTCGTTCTGGTCTCACTCATTGCTGGTCTCATTCTGGTCTCAATCATTACTGTGCTGGTCTCATTCTGGTCTCACTCTCATTACTGTGCTGGTCTCGTTTTGGTCTCTCTCATTACTGTGCTGGTCTCATTCTGGTCTCACTCATTACTGTGCTGGTCTCGTTCTGGTCTTACTCATTACTGTGCTGGTCTCATTCTGGTCTCTCTCATTACTGTGCTGGTCTCATTATGGTCTCACTCATTACTGTGCTGGTCTCATTATGGTCTCACTCATTACTGTGCTGGTCTCGTTCTGGTCTCTCTCATTACTGTGCTGGTCTCATTCTGGTCTCTCTCATTACTGTGCTGGTCTCATTCTGGTCTCTCTCATTACTGTGCTGGTCTCATTCTGGTCTTTCTCATTACTGTGCTGGTCTCATTCTGGTCTTTCTCATTACTGTGCTGGTCTCATTCTGGTCTCTCTCATTACTGTGCTGGTCTCATTCTGGTCTCTCTCATTACTGTGCTGGTCTCACTCATTACTGTGCTGGTCTCGTTCTGGTCTCTCTCATTACTGTGCTGGTCTCATTCTGGTCTCTCTCATTACTGTGCTGGTCTCATTCTGGTCTCTCTCATTACTGTGCTGGTCTCGTTCTGGTCTCTCTCATTACTGTGCTGGTCTCATTCTGGTCTCTCTCATTACTGTGCTGGTCTCATTCTGGTCTCTCTCATTACTGTGCTAGTCTCGTTCTGGTCTCTCTCATTACTGTGCTGGTCTCATTCTGGTCTCTCTCATTACTGTGCTGGTCTCATTCTGGTCTCTCTCATTACTGTGCTAGTCTCGTTCTGGTCTCTCTCATTACTGTGCTGGTCTCATTCTGGTCTCTCTCATTACTGTGCTGGTCTCATTCTGGTCTCTCTCATTACTGTGCTAGTCTCGTTCTGGTCTCTCTCATTACTGTGCTGGTCTCGTTCTGGTCTCTCTCATTACTGTGCTGGTCTCATTATGGTCTCACTCATTACTGTGCTGGTCTCATTATGGTCTCACTCATTACTGTGCTGGTCTCATTCTGGTCTCTCTCATTACTGTGCTGGTCTCATTATGGTCTCACTCATTACTGTGCTGGTCTCGTTCTGGTCTCTCTCATTACTGTGCTGGTCTCATTCTGGTCTCTCTCATTACTGTGCTGGTCTCGTTCTGGTCTCTCTCATTACTGTGCTGGTCTCGTTCTGGTCTCACTCATTACTGTGCTGGTCTCGTTCTGGTCTCTCTCATTACTGTGCTGGTCTCGTTCTGGTCTCTCTCATTACTGTGCTGGTCTCGTTCTGGTCTCACTCATTACTGTGCTGGTCTCGTTCTGGTCTCTCTCATTACTGTGCTGGTCTCGTTCTGGTCTCTCTCATTACTGTGCTGGTCTCGTTCTGGTCTCACTCATTACTGTGCTGGTCTCGTTCTGGTCTCACTCATTACTGTGCTGGTCTCGTTCTGGTCTCACTCATTACTGTGCTGGTCTCGTTCTGGTCTCTCTCATTACTGTGCTGGTCTCGTTCTGGTCTCACTCATTACTGTGCTGGTCTCGTTCTGGTCTCACTCATTACTGTGCTGGTCTCGTTCTGGTCTCACTCATTACTGTGCTGGTCTCGTTCTGGTCTCACTCATTACTGTGCTGGTCTCGTTCTGGTCTCACTCATTACTGTGCTGGTCTCGTTCTGGTCTCTCTCATTACTGTGCTGGTCTCGTTCTGGTCTCTCTCATTACTGTGCTGGTCTCGTTCTGGTCTCACTCATTACTGTGCTGGTCTCGTTCTGGTCTCTCTCATTACTGTGCTGGTCTCATTCTGGTCTCTCTCATTACTGTGCTGGTCTCATTCTGGTCTCTCTCATTACTGTGCTGGTCTCATTCTGGTCTCTCTCATTACTGTGCTGGTCTCATTCTGGTCTCTCTCATTACTGTGCTGGTCTCGTTCTGGTCTCTCTCATTACTGTGCTGGTCTCATTCTGGTCTCACTCATTACTGTGCTGGTCTCATTCTGGTCTCTCTCATTACTGTGCTGGTCTCATTCTGGTCTCTCTCATTACTGTGCTGGTCTCGTTCTGGTCTCTCTCATTACTGTGCTGGTCTCATTCTGGTCTTTCTCATTACTGTGCTGGTCTCATTCTGGTCTCTCTCATTACTGTGCTGGTCTCATTCTGGTCTCTCTCATTACTGTGCTGGTCTCGTTCTGGTCTCTCTCATTACTGTGCTAGTCTCGTTCTGGTCTTTCTCATTACTGTGCTGGTCTCATTCTGGTCTCACTCATTACTGTGCTGGTCTCATTTTGGTCTCTCTCATTACTGTGCTGGTCTCGTTCTGGTCTCTCTCATTACTGTGCTGGTCTCATTCTGGTCTTTCTCATTACTGTGCTGGTCTCGTTCTGGTCTCTCTCATTACTATGCTGGTCTCATTCTGGTCTTTCTTATTACTGTGCTGGTCTCATTCTGGTCTCTCTCATTACTGTGCTGGTCTCATTCTGGTCTTTCTCATTACTGTGCTGGTCTCATTCTGGTCTCTCTCATTACTGTGCTGGTCTCGTTCTGGTCTCTCTCATTACTGTGCTGGTCTCGTTCTGGTCTCTCTGATTACTGTGCTGGTCTCATTCTGGTCTTTCTCATTACTGTGCTGGTCTCATTTTGGTCTTTCTCATTACTGTGCTGGTCTCATTCTGGTCTTTCTCATTACTGTGCTGGTCTCATTTTGGTCTTTCTCATTACTGTGCTGGTCTCATTCTGCTCTCACTCATTACTGTGCTGGTCTCATTCTGGTCTTTCTCATTACTGTGCTGGTCTCATTCTGGTCTCTCTCATTACTGTGCTGGTCTCGTTCTGGTCTCTCTCATTACTGTCGTGGTCTCATTCTGGTCTTTCTCATTACTGTGCTGGTCTCATTCTGGTCTTTATTACTGTGCTGGTCTCATTCTGGTCTCTCTCATTACTGTGCTGGTCTCGTTCTGGTCTCTCTCATTACTGTCGTGGTCTTATTCTGAGTCAATTATGCGAACGCTGAGCCTGAAGGCAGGTTTTTGCTGACATGGTGCGTATAGGAGGGCAGATATTTTTACTCTCCCATCTGTTCCACACTGTCCCGTAAGTTTTACTTTGTAGCGTCCTTGGTGTGCGTCTAGGGATCTGTTCTACATACCACTTATTTGAGCCCCTCCGCTGCAGTTGTTTACAAATATTGTGGAGTGAATACATCTGTCCTGATATAGCAGAGAGTCTTTATAATTGATTTCAGCACATAAAACGTTTAAGATTTTCTTTGGTACTTTGTATCAAATGTGACTGATTCATACTGCTTGCAATGTTCTGCTCTGATGGATGCACATGCATTCTAACTGTTTCTGATTGCATTCGAAGTG